TTGAATCAAAAGTTGGCTCATGTAAAAGTCGTCTCATGTAAACACCGCATTACATATTCTTCAACATGCTCCGAACTTCAACTCGTAGTTCTTGGTAGGTCTCCAAGTTGTGGTACAAGTGGTGGAACTTACAATTTTACGCCGTAACCGGACGGCAAATTGCTTCCGATGAGAAACTTTTTTAAAGCTAAAAAAACTTTTCTTTAATTAGTATTATATACACAAGGGCCAGGAATCGAACCTGGATTCTACGGAGCCGTAATAGGCAGCTCTAAGGACCTGGACATGGAGGCCTGGTTAAAAGAAAGAAAAAAATCGCATCGTGGTTGTAGAAAACCAACGTGTAATAGCAGCGAAGTCAATGCACGAAGTAAAAGTTGGCGGATATTCGAATATTCAAATGATTAAAAAATCCGAATATCCGGATATTCATATAAAAACCAGATATCCTGATAACAAAATAAATTGATATTAATTAGCCGGTTAGCAAAATTAATGGCTATTAACAGGATATCCGATTAAAAAAAAGAGAGCTGATATTAATCGGATATCCGGATTTAATCCGTATACACAAACATCCGGATATCCGAATATACTTCCCTTACTTCGAAGCGCTGCTAATTTTTTGGTCGGTTACACTTGGGGCACCCTTTATGGCATTTCTTCATTTGCGTTTACTTAATTTACCTATGTACATATGTAGATACTTACATTCATAGCTATGAGTAAACAAATTAGAAGCCAGATTTATAACTACATGACACTTGGTTAATTTTCTAATTTTCACATTCAATGCATATTTAGATATGAAACGGTGGTGACAGTTAAAGAAATTGTGTGGTCGCGGATAGAAGTGAGTTTGAGAATTCGTATAAATAAAATTATTCCCTCAAGGACTACATACTTATATGGAATCATGGAGATCACGGAATCATCATTAAGCGTTTTTCATATGTGCAAGCTATTGGCATTAGCACCAATTTCCATTCAGCGGAATGAGAAAGGTGTTATAGAGATAAAACGTAGCAGGATATTCTCCATATACTCGATTGTTTTGAGTCTAACAATGGGTGTGTTTCAGTTAAATTAAAACTTTAGTTTATATTAAAAAATAAACTTGTGTATTTGTTTTTCACGCAGTCATATTAGCTTACGATAGCTCCGATGCGAATTGTAAATTTCCCTTGCGGTAAGCATGGATTTTAAATTGCCATCTCGATCTTAAAATAGAAAGTAAAAGAAAATAAAACACCCCAAGTGAATTTATTTTTAAGTTCGTGTCTAAGCAATATCCTATACAAATTTACTTTATAAGTATTAGCGATATTTCAGAACGAAATCTTCAACACTAAAAGTGATCACTGCTTTGGATGTGACTGTGGTGGTACTTGCAAGTGGATCTGCTATTGCTTGCGGTCTCTTCAGCATAAAGCCAACACAAGAGCTGAATTCACGCTTAAACAAGGTAGATAATTTTTTTTTTTACTTTATTTGAAATAAACTACTGAAGTCATGCATATATTGGCTAGAACTAAAATTAAGTTAGGATAAGTGAAGGAGCGTCCAAAGCCATTGGCCACGACGGATGCATACATAGTCCGCTCGATGGTAAAACCCCTGGATCCGGCGGAAGTAGATCTCTCTTTGCCGTTGGCCCCTTTCCTCAGTCCCGACATTGGGGAGTGTGGCGGAGTGATTATACGCTAAAATCCGAGAAACCAGCCAAAAAAAGCCATTGAGACACTGGAAGCAGAGCCACCGCACAGGCACGTCAGAATACAACTCAACGAACTTACGGACCTAATCCCACAACTGCAAGACCCAACAGTGTACTGACAATCTATTAACATATTTCACAGAGAGACGTGCGCCACCTTTACAAACCCCCATAACTTGAATGCCGCCATCGGAGTTCAACCTCGTGAGACCCGCGTGAGTAATGTAGTAGACCTAACTCCTACTTATCCAGACTCGACCAAGATATAGCGGGCTTTCAAAGGCACTCCACATGTCAACAAATACCTGTTCATTTGCCGTATTAAGCCCAGTGAGCTAACACTGTTCTACCTTTAGTAAAACCCGCCGAAGTAGCACATTTCCTGAACTTACCGTTAACTCATCTTGACAACGTTTGGTAGACTCGTCGATTTAGGTAGGCAGCAACAACAACTAGCAAATGCCTTCTGTAACACCACAAATCCTATGACGATTGCGAAAAGGAGATCTACCGAACCTTAGAAGAACGATTTTGAAAGGCCGCCTCAAACTCTGGAAACTGTATAACAAAAATTTTATTTCTCATAAGACCAATGCTTTGCACTTTTTTTTTCATATAAGTATGAATTTCACCAAAATTTCAAACTTTTTATTCAGGATCTTTAGAAAAAAATTTGGTATTCAGTTTGGAGCCCACTAAATTTTAGTATAATAAAGTGCAACTTTCAAGTTGCTAAAATTCTTTTTGGTTTAATGATTTTTTTTTTTGCACTATAAGCATGAATAATGAAATAAAATACGGGAAACCGTCAGCAACAAAATTTCAAAATATCAACGCAAGTTTTTGTAAAATGCGCTTGTTATATTAAAAAAAAACCCGAAAAAGTAGCCTAAAAAAAATTCTCAAAAATCAAAGCGATTTTTTAGCCGTTTGAAACTTACACAAATTGCATGGGCTATAAAACTGCATACCTAAAAAAAATTCAAAATAAAAAGTTGAAATTTTTATGAAAATTTGTTGAATTGTCCTAAATTTTGTATAAAGCTTGAAACTGTGACGATATTTTTATATAAAAATAACAAAAAATTTAGCTGGAAAAATATTACGAATATTTAAAAAAGAACAACACGTGGTCACTTGTTTGAGTCACTGTACATAACGCACACCTAGATCTAAAGTGAGCTAACTCAAAATTCAGAGAGGGGAATTTAACTGCTTGTGGATTGTACAGATTCAAGGCAATTCATACAAAAACAAGTATAACAGTGGTTTTTTAGTTAATGTATATAATCATGAAGATTAATTGGACGTAAATTCTATGAATTGATTTATGCAGAAAAATCGCCCAAAATTTGTATTGAGTTGCTCGCACTTTAGATCCAGGTGTGCGAACGTATAAAAAATTTTCTCTTCCAGATCGACTTGGCCTTGCATTCATTTTCGAATTTTAAAAACGACCGCATCAAATCCATCATAATAGCCATGGTTCCGTTAATGTTTAGCGCAACGATAATGGGTGATAACAATTTTTAAAACTAAAAGTAATTGATTTGTAATTAAACTGCATATATTTTTAAAGGATATGATTTCTATGTGTGGATAACACTTGAATCGAAGAGTGGCATAAGTAAGAAATTGTTTTACATACAAACATATGTACAATCAAAATAACAATGGTTTTTCATAAATTTTGGTTTTTAGAAACCTGTATAAGCTGGTATCTAACATTTTATGGGCATTATCTTATCAAAATTGGATTCCATGTTTTATATGCAAACACTGCGTTGGGGCTTGGTCGACGTTTTCGCCGTTTAAATAAAATGCTGGAATGCAACTATTTTTCAGGTGCGAACAAGGGTTTTTCTTTCTTAAATATGTTTTCGACTTAAATTTTTATATTTGCAGATAACTCAATTAATGATGAAAAAGAGACACCAAAAAATAGTATGAAAATCACTGCAGAAAATATTTCAACACTTCACGACAGTTGGAATACTAAGTCGTTGCATAAAGAAAGCTGCGGTAAGTGCAAAAAAAAAAAACTAAGAATATATTAGAATGCGTAGTGCTCGGAAAATTTTCGGGAGTATAAATAAAACTTTAATTGCGATAACAGGCTGCATGCATATTTGGGGTGCAGCTGGATTGCCAATATAAAATTTTCCACCTGAACACAATCTTTCAAACAGAAGATTTTAGATGTAAATATCACTTATTTAATTTCAGTCAAAACACGGGTTGCCCTCTTGAAGTCACTTGCCGATAACCAAGAATCATTGGGCAAATGTGTGCAGATTTTTTCCCGGTAAGTATGATAGTAAAAAAAAAAAAATCAAAGAAAAAAACTTTGTTTAGCATAAATTGACATAATAAAATATATCTCACACTTAACAGCACTTTTGGGCTTGCTATACTTTTCATTCTGGCTTCCTGCATGATGCACTTGGTGCTCGCGGCATATTTTCTACTTTTAGCTTTGCTGAGTCGGAATGTAACCGATTATGTGTGGGATCAAGTGATTTGGATCGTTTTGCATATACTCAGGCTGATATTGGTGGTGGAACCATGCCATATCGCAACGACGGAGGTGAGTAAGAAGCAGGCGCGAAATTTTTAAGACTTTGTGAATTTTCAATTGGACATTCATTTAATATATGTACATATATATTTTTTTATAGTCTAAGAAAACCATAGAAATTATGTCCGAACTCAAGCGCGAAGTGAGTGAACCGCTGCTGATAGAGGAGGTAAACACTATTTTTTTTCTAATACTTTTTAAGCATTTAAAAATTGAAGGAATTTTTTTAAATTAATGTTACAAACAAAAATGGTTGGTCTTTTTTCAATTGTAGATTAAAAAGTTATGGCAGCAGTCTGTTGTTCTTGATGTCAATTTCTCGGCGCTAGGACTTTGTCGTATCAGTAGAAATATATTGACGTCGGTAAGTATTTAGACATATATGCACGTAATACAATTTATTATCCCTCAATTGGAAAGCCGCTCTGGTGTAGTGGTTAGCAGTGCGCGCTACCACTCCGCAGGGCCTGGGTTCCAGCCATGGTCAAAGCAACATCGCAGTAAAAATATAGAAAAAGTGTTTTTTCTTCTCATAAAAATACAATCGCCGTTCGGAATCGGCGTAAAACTGTAGGTCCCTCCCCTTTGTGTGACAACGTCAAGACGGACGCCACAATTCGGAGGAGAAGCTCGGCCAAACACTAACATAGTATGTGTAAGCGCCAATCCATTACTATTAATTGGAAAGCCACAGCGTATTATGCATTGCGAATTACATAATTCACAAAACAATACCCCGCCAGGTTAGGACGTTTAACGCCAAAAAGACTGTTGACAGTGACCATTTTTAAGGCATAAGCATTAAGCTTATATGGGAAGCTTAAAGGTATTTGTAGGGCAGTAATATTGAACGCGTTCATAAAGTGGAGTAATACGTGGTTCGGACACTCCAGAATTTTAGAAGCTCTTCCTACAAAATTCAGGCGCTCAGACTAGAGTATCGCCCTTTGGTCTAAGGTATTATATCCCTGAAAGGATACCCTATATCAGTGATAGGTTTCCTTATTCTGCGGGCATTTACACCGATAGCTTTAAATTGGCTTTGAAGGTGGAAAGAGGAATGTACAAGCGGATTCCTGCCGCATGCAGTAGCTATTTTCTCTGGCTGGCAAAGAGGATCGTCGCACGTTTAGTTTGGAGGCAAACCCAAAATGGGGTATCAGGCAACTGTATGGCAAACGAACTGTTCAGGAAGGGATCGGTGCCGCGGGCAGTGCAAACTCTACCTGAAGAACAAGTATAGCGAGTAGATGGCCTGCAGAGCTATTTGTAGAGTAGCACGACACATATGGCCTACATTAATTTAGGAGAAGATCTAGCACACTCTTCCGGCTGGTGCGACCACGGCTTCGACATATTTATAATCAGGGTTATTATAGGCCATTGCCTGATTGGGACGCATGCCAACAGAAGGGTTCCAAACTCGTATGTCGTAATTGTCGTGATATTGAAGAGTCGAGGCACGTCCATACTTCAGTCTTTTCTTGAGTGTCTGACTGAACAGAGGACAGCTAGCATCTATGATTTTGTGACGTGTATCAGTAACGCGAGTTGTTTTCACTTCTAGAGAAAGGACAAATATAAAAAACTTCTATTACGGTATCAAAATGACCCCATGGCGGCCTAGGGAGGGAAACCACGATAAAAGAAATCTTGTATATACATATATTACAAATCTTTAGAAATTTTGGAAGTACATTGGCTGAGTGGTTGAAAACGCCCTATTTTAGAATTTACTAAAAGAAGGCCCTTTCTCAGGAAATGGTTTAAAAACGCCCTGCCTCAGCTCCCGATGTATTGAATTTATATATTAGGGCTAGAAAAAATCTACATACACACCTATGTACATGGAACAGTACCACCTGCAAAGAAATTTCGAAAAAAAAACAATTTTATTCGGCCAAACCTGGGGTCGCCTTTTTAAATTTTTCGGTGACACGTACATTCGACTATATTTTGTTGTTTTTTTTTAGATCCACTGGAATAATCAAAATACTTCCTTAGTAGAAGTTTAAACATTTTTGGTTAGCTTGAATTTACTACCGTTAGAGTGATAAGAACTAAGATCTGGTGGGTAAGTGCCAGAACGGGGTACCTGAGGTCAATGAACTTTGGAATAAAAAAATTATTTCCTCGAGAGAAAAAACATCGATACATATGATACTTTCAAGATCCGACTGATCCCGGAGATATGAAATGTAAAATGGCGAGCCCTGAGTTCGACCAAAGAACGATTTTTTCGAAATTGGCTTGCAAAAATACTTTGCATACATAAGTATCTGCGTCATTTTGACAACACAACTTAAGTTACTTTGAAGGTTTGATTATAAATGTATAAGTTTCAACTAAAAAAATTATTTTTTACTAAACTTATATTAAAAGTGCATCTTAAACTACACCTATATTGTTTAAGAACCCAATAAAATATTGCATTAAATAGAAAATCGTCTAACTAGAGATAAGCGGTCTTCTCAAAATGCCATAGACATATTGAATTGAGGTTAACCAACCTACATACCTAATGCGTGGAGTCATAAGTTCAATAATGATCTATAAATCCTAGACTTAAATGAAGTTTTAATTAGCTGTATGCCTTTTTATATGCTTTCAGTTTAGCTCAGCAATTGCTACATATCTTGTTATTTTAATACAATTCCAAGAGTAGGACGAATAATGGACGCTCACGAAATGGATAGCCTAATTTCGGCTGCACCAGAAAACGAAACAAAAACAAAACCATTATTATACCACAAATTAACATTTAGAAAATAATTATGTAAACAAAAAGAAAAGTGAAAATATTATGTATGTATGTACATTTGTGTGTCTGCCTGAGGGTGATTTGGAAAAAAACCAGCAATTACAATAAATGATTTGGTGTTAAACAAAAACGTTGTCTACATATATGTCTACAAAATTCTTTACCCATTCCATGAGTTGAAAAGCGATAAGTCGCACACATTTATGGCCCAAGAACAGCAGTGTTTGAAAACCAATGCAGGTAAAATTTGCCGGACAGTTAATACTCTTTCATTCCATGTACATATTTATGCACATAGAAACTGAAAAGAATATTGGTCGTTTTTTAGCTCTGTTATGATCCAAATGGTATAAGAAGTGGAATATCTTCAAAACTTAATTCGAATATGTGTCTTAATAGGCAACGAAGCGCTTAAAGACTTGCAAAATTAAGCATCGTTTCGTAGGTCCTTAATTCGACATGAATTTTGCCACAAAAATACATCGATAATTTAACAACATCACAATGCCACACATACATACATACATACATACTCGCACTGGAGAGTGCTCATAAGCGACAATTTGTTAAGCAATCGACCTGTACGCCTTCTCCAAACAAAGCTTATCTTCCACAAAGTATTTCATCATACCCAAAACGATAATCTTCATATGTATGTATGTATATTCATCATTCACAAACACTACAATAATGACCCCTAATAAAAATCGTTTATCTACACCTAAATATATGCCACATTAACTGTATCCACCATAATATTTTTCTTGTGTTTACATTCACCCTGCAGTAAAAATTTAAATAGGTTAATAGAAACATAGTAACAGATTGACTGGTATAGCTTATTCGAAGGCTAGCTATCTCACAAACTGGATGAGCTGTTGTGGAGAATGATTGGTAGAACAAGGTGCGATGCTGCAGCCAGCGATATCTGTCTTCGAAGTGTCAAGACAAAGCAATAACAGCCATGGCGTCGTGTAAAGACCTCGGATTTTGATTCTGAGACCACCTTACAGATTTTTCAATTAGATAAACACATCGAAAATTTTTAAAATTTTTTGAAGATGCTCTAGGAGCATTTCTGCATCAAAAAGAAAATTTCAAAAAAAAACTGGCTCTTGCGCTTTTTTGAAAATAGAAAATAAAACGACGAAAAGAATACCAGTTGCTAATAGAAAACAGGTAAAAGAAGTACCAATTGAAATGCATTAGAAAACTAGTCGTAGGCTAGTTGCTTTCATTGTGGACCATTAACTCGCACTTTCTGCATATAAATATCTACATTTCGCCATGCAGCGCGTCCTGTCACTCAGTGTGTACTTTATAATATTTCAATTTTAAATTTACCGCCATTTCCTCACCCACTCAAGTGGTCTACAAAAAAAAAAATATATATATATATATATATATGTGTATTTCTTTCCCAGAAGTTCGCTTGAATATTGTCTATATGTACATACGAGCACGTAAATCCAACAGTTTGACAATTTAATTATGCATATAATTAACTCTTTAGCCCTCGCTGTCACCGTCACGAACTCTAATGATTATTTACAATTTAAACGGCGAAACAGTAAATAGTATTTACAAGTGTTGTAGACAGGCAATCACAAACAGTTGAATGAATGGGATATTTTTTAAAGCACAAGCGCTTATAATGTATATATATATAAGTACATATGCACCTATGTATATTAAGGGAGAAAGGAGGGCAAGTTTTTAAAATTGTTGGACGTTTTTAATACGAAAATTTTTCTCGTGGGTTTTTGGCTTGTGACACATTTAATTTTTTGATCAGTTTTTGTGACAAACAGACGTTTTTCGTACTTTTATCCATGGTTTTTGATAAGAAAAAACTTCAAAACCAAATATCGGTATTTTTTGTTTTTGTAAAAAACGAACAACTGCTTAGCAAAGTCGTAGTCTGTAAGTGAAATATTGCAATCGATTTTTTGTTGTTTTTTTAGCTATTTTCAAACAACCATATTTAAGTTAATACTTATCTAAAGAATTAACAAAAATGTAGAAAATAAAAAAAAGAGTAAGTACATACTTTGGAAATCTATAACTGGTATTTTTCTTTTTTAAGAAAAATACACACGTATATTTTAGTTTGAATTAATGCAAAATCCTGATTGATTTTTTCCACAAGATTTTGCATATTTTTTCCATATAAAAAAATTGCTAAATATGTATTGAAATGACAAAAAATGTATCAATTTAAAAAATGCCATTAGGAAACAGACGTAATGACTATTACTTAGAACGTAATGCCACGGAAATTCAGCATTATATGGAAAAAGCTACGCAAGATCACCGGGAAAAACGTTTTCAAAGGTCACGGAAAATTTTAGGTCACACTTAAAAATTTCACATTATTATACTAAAATTAAATGGGCATAACCGAAATTTTCGTAAAAACGTCGATCAAAAAGTTTGAAATTTTTATGAAAATTCGATCAATTTTTCTAAATTTTGTACAAAGTTAAAAACATTAATTCATATATTTTTTTACAGAGTGAACTATATTAAAAAAATTATAATTTGTTTATGATTTACAAAATTTTACTTAATTTTTTGAAAAGCCGTGGTACGGTTTGCGTGGCCACAAGTGTAAGTGGCATTTTTTTCTTTAAAGCAATTTATTTAGAAAAAAATGCATTCAAGTTTTTTCAATAAAACCTCAAATTAAAGTCACCTCTTTTAGACCTATCGGTCGTCAAGGGTTAAGATGCAAAAAAAATCTACTCATTTGGTCATAATTAATTTTTGCCTCAAAAATTTGTCAAAATAACCATAGTGTGAAAGTTGCAATGGTGGTTTTAACCCGAAAAATAAATTCGCGTCTTGGACGTTTTTTGTTGAGCAGGCTTTAAGCACAGCGTAGTATTATGTGTAAGAAGGATGGAAGGATCCAAAAATATTTTTTTAGCCCTTAATGCAATTTAGCTATATACGTAGACTCAGATCTAGCCAACGCGCAAAATATCTCGAAATTACCCATTGTGCTGGCCTGTGTAATGCGTGGAAGTGAAAAGTGTTCTCTTTCGGTATAAAAATTCAAAATATATCGACTCCTAAGTGGAAAGATCGGCAACCAGTACGAAAACTCCCTATCTCAGAAAACTTTTCAATAACACCCTATTTCAGAATTTGATTGAAGAATGCCCTATTTCAGAATTCGGTTCAAAAACGCACTACTCAACACATTTTCAATACATTTTCAGCTTAAATAGGGCGTTTTTGAATCGAATCCTTAGATAGAGCGTTCTTGTATCAAATTCTGAAGTAGGGTGTCCTTGAAAAGTTTTCTGTGGTAGGGCGTTTTTGAACTGGCTGCCGAGATAAATAGATCGATATTCCACTCAGGTGCCGATATACTACTTTTGTAGTTAAATATTCGAATTCAGTTATATTTTGAAAGTTATTACGAAAAACGATGGTTTGTTCAACTTACATATGTATATGTATATGTATTATCTAAGCAAAATCTTTTCGCATAGATCACGGCCAGGAAAGTTGACCCTTTTTAATGCTTTGCAGTTTGCGCACCGCTGCATATTTAAAGGCGGTGTAAATTTGATATCAACATGCTTTAAATGCCCACACGTAAACAAACACACATACCATACAAACATACATACATCATATGTATGTACATACAACCGAACAAATATTTGCCAAGGTGTACAAAAATTTGTTGACAAATTCTCACTGCGATTGGAGTTGTGAATATTACCAGCGGCACGAAATTCACCACCCTCAACATACAAGAATTCAATTAGTGCAATGCGACAAGGCGGAGCGGTTGACAGTAAAAATAAGTCGTAAAATTCATAGAAACGAAAGAATTAATATTTTGCTTTTAAAAATTTAAGTGTTCTTTTATGTATTTACATACATATGAATATAAATAATTTGTTAAAAAGGAAATTTGCATAAGAATTAGTTAACAAAAAAAAATTGTTTTTCCAATTAACGATGGAAATCTCCGAGCCTACGCTTTGCATTTTTTATACGAGCAAAGTTTTGGCGCTCGCACCTTTCTCGGTACGCAGAAACTCAAAGGGCGTGCTGGATATACGACGTAGTTACATGTTCTCGGTTTATTCGGCCGCACTGTGCCTAACAATGGGTAAATTTTCGAAATTAATTTGCGAAAAATTTGTGTACTTTTTGTGACTCATTTTGTGAAATTTATTTAGTGTGTTTGACCTATCAGGGATTGTTATTCGATGCGAATTCGCAAGTGCCTGTTCGGTAAGTACTTTTTTAAAGCAGCAATGGTTACTTCTTTACTCAAAAACTTTTGCAGTGCCTTTTTTTGAAAGTATGTAGATCTGTATGTGAATATTGACATATCGTCACCCTAATGCCAGAAGCATGAAATTGCAAATTTATCAATTTTGCGTTATTGGGTTAACGACTTGATTAAATTTTGGATGTTCTGTGTTATACCGAAAACCGAGAATACCATGCGTACACGGAAATCTTTTCGATTGCAAATTGCATAAATGTATAGTTATGTAAGTCTCGTAAAACAAAAAACTTTCAAGCTTGATTTCCCAAAATTTGCATGTTTATGGCATACGGGCGACGATATGTATGTATGTAGATGCTTGTTATTTTATTAAGTTGCAGTTAAAAGTAGTAAAAACTTGCTTCAACAAAATGGTAGTGCAAAATGGCACCGTTTTACACGTTCAAAAAAAGTAGTAGTAGACTTGTTTTGTATACATCACGACCCCTATTTTCGAATTTATCGTAAGCGACAAAAGGTAAATTTTAGAATTTTTTTTTATTCTCCTTTAAAAAGTGTAGAAATTTATTTGGATTTAAATATACAACAACATTATTGAATGCTAGCTTTCTAATAGGACTATTTGTTTTTTTGCATACCTTATTGTCTAAAAGTAAAATGATGCTTACGTTATTCTTCCTCAACATGCTGAGAGGTAATTTATCAAAGAATTTGCGCT